CCACCGACGCAGCCCCAAACAGTTTCTTTCGAAACTATCAGCCTTTATACAACAGCTTTGTTGGTCGATCGGGGAGTCAGTGAGCTCTAATAAGAGCTCCCAACCGCAATAAGTTGGTTGGTCATTTCGGGAGTAAATAAGCTCTGATAAAAGCTCCCGATCGCAAGATGTTTGTTGGTCGATCGGGGAAGTTAATGAGATCAGATAAGAGCTCCCGATGGGAAGAAGTCTGCTGGTCGACTGGGAAGTCAACCAGCTTTTTTAAAGGCTCCAGAACCCAAGCAGTTTTTCAGTCGTCTTGGGAGTCAATAAGCTCTGATTAGAGCTCCTAAATGGGAGAAGTTTGTTAGTAGGTCGGGAGTCAGTGAGCTATGATAAGAGCTCCCGATTGCAAGAAGTTTGATGGTCGACTGGAGAGTCTTCGAGCTCTGAGAAGAGCTCCCGACCGTAAAAAGTATTTTGGTAGATTGAGAAGTCAATTAGCTCTGATAAGAGGTTTGGATATGTTTGTTGCTCGATTGAGGAGTCAATAAGATCTGTTCAGTGATCACCATGGCAAGAAGTTTATTGTTCAATTGGGGACCGTTAGATTGGGTGGTCAATGAGCTCTGATGAGAGCTCCCAATCATAAGAAAGTTATGTCGAGCGGGAGTCAGTGAGCTGTGATAAGAGCTCCCCTTTGCGAAAAATTTGTTGGTTGATTGGGGAGACACTGACTTCTGATAAGAGCTTCTCATCGTACGAAGTTTGTTTGTCGATCGGGGAGCCAATGAGCTCTGATAAGAGCACCCGATCTCAAGAGGTAGATTGGAGAGTCGGTGAGCTTATTTGTCAGTGAGCTGATAGATTGTTCAAGTGGGGAGTCAATGGGCTCTGATAAGAGTTCCAAGTCGCAAAAAAAATCGTCAGTCGATCGGGGAGTCAATGGGCTCTAATAAGAGCTCCTGATCATAAGAAGTTTGTGTCGATCAGGGAGTCAGTGAGCTCTGATAAGAGCTTCCGATCGCAAGAAAATTAATGCTCGGTTAGGGAGTCAACAAGCTCTAATAAGACCTCCCATTCGCAAGACGTTTGTTGGTAGATTGACGAGTAATTGAGCTCTGATAAGATTCGCGATTGTAGGAAATTTATGTCGATCGGGGAGTAATTAGTATGAGCTCTTATGAGGGTTTCCGATCGCAAGACGTTTGTTGGTCGATTGCGGAGTCACTGAGCTCTAATACGAACTCCCGTTCTTAAGAAATAAATGTTGATCGGAGAGTCAATGAGGCGTGATAAGAGCTCCCGACTGCACGACGTTTGTTAGTCGAACGGGAAGTCATTGATTCCTGAAAAGAGCTCCCGATCGCAAGACGTTTGTTGATAGATGGGGGGGGGCCGCAATGAGCTCTGATAAGAGTTCCCAATCGTAAGATAGTTACATAGATCGTGGAGTCAAATGAGCTCCGATAAGAGCTTGTTGATTGATTGGGGGAATAATGAGCTCTGATAAAAACACCCAGTCGTCTGAAATTACAAGCTTTCAATATGATAGCGCAGCTACAGCAGTCATTAAAACTGAAACGTGCTTTGTATGCACACTAAAAAGACTATGCCTTCAACGAGGTTTTTATACCCGTGCTAAGAGAGAAATATTGAAGAGGAAAGAATTTCGGTCACAGATAGACACTTATAAGAATCATGTGACAGTTTATATCTGACCATTTTGGGGAAAAAGAATAAGAAACATGAAAAATGGCCCTTGAAACCGATAAAAGAATTCAGAAAAGCTCTGTGGGCAAATAATCATGACGAATTTTCTTGGCCCCAGTGGTAGACTGTAGAGTACCCAAGACCTTCTCAAATTGCAATTACTAACTTTAGTCTAGCATATAGAGAAATGCATACACCAAGGGTTTCTGTTACCTTTGCAAAGTGTTTGCATACCACTCCAAGTGCCATTTGCCAAACAGCTCCTTAATGTTGATCCCAACAAGATGAACCCTTCATCACAGCTAAATTTGATATAATTAGGATATGTTGTCTCCTGTCCAAGCTTGCTACCATTTTGAGGAACAGTTAAAGAACCACAGTCAACCGCTACAAGTAAAAATAGGGAAAGTATATTTGACAACTTGCTAACACATCATTAATGGTGATCTGCTTTCATTCTTGTTTAATCGCGTTTTCCCGCGCCTCGGGCAGTTTGCTTGTTTTTATTTCGAGTTTTCATTGGCTGCTAGTGACATTTACCCTCGCTATGATTCGCTGATACGATTGCTTTCGTTTTGGTTTTACTTCACTCAATCGAAAAGCTCTCAAATTGGTTTTAAAAGTTTCAAACACGATACTCTAAAATTGGGGAATCGTGTTCTTGCCTTACCTTTGCAGGACGTCTCAGCTCCACTCCATTGCTTATCAGCCCCACAAGTTCTCTTCGAGGATCCCTTCAGAAAAAATCCCTCATTGCAAAAGAAATGGACTGTATTTAGGAAAGTTGTTTTATTGCCGGCCTTAGAACCATTGCTCGGCGTCCGAAGCGGCCCACAGTCAATAGCTGTAACAGAAAATAAAAAATAGTGTCGTTTTTAAACGTATTGCAGATTCACCGATACATTCACAAATTTTTCTCAAAGACATGAATATACTTTTCATATTCAATCAATCAATTCTCAGAAATTGCTGTGTTGATTGTCCTATCTGTTTCTTGTCTTCCCTAACTTTTTGTTTTATTCTGCTTGTTTCCTTTTTTCACTTGATTGGACACTGTTGCTGAGAACGGAAAATACAACCAGTTTCTTGAAGGAAAAAGTTTATAGAGTGAAATCCTTTTCAGGCGGAGAAAAAAAAGTTAGAACACCGGAACCTATAAGAACCGCTTCCTAGTATACTTTGCTTCACTTAGATGACGAGGTTATAAAGCCTCTATTGTAACTTACGTTTACAGGTAGTTTTATTTCCACTCCATTTCCCATCGGCTTGGCATTTTCTCACAACAGACCCTTGGATTTCATATCCGATATCGCAAGTAAATGTTATTGAGTGAGGGTATCTTGTAGATACTCCTGAGACAGAACCGTGGTCTGGCAGTTTTGGCTTGCCGCAGTTGATGGCTTCAAAATGAGAGAACAAGCTTCAAAAGCAAAAGAACTCCACTCCAAGACAGTGCCAGTTAATAACGAATAGCTGACTTCGCAATTGCACGAATGAAGCGTCAGAGAATAGGATTTGGCTTTCAAAATAAAGCTCACCAGCTGGTAAAATTTAAGACCAGAACTGGCCTTGTTAAAGCGAAACATTGAATGCTGTATTTTACGTTTTATTTATTTCAAGGAATGAGTGATGATCCTGAAGTTAGTTTTACGGAAAACATAGTTGAGTTGCTTAAGTTTAACGTCAAGACAGCTCACATAGCATTACTGTGCTGCAAGTGCAGTAGCTGCGGCGCGCATTTAAAATGTATTTATTGTGCCGCAGAAAATAGAGAATGAAAGGCGGAGCAATCAGTGGTTTCAAAGAGAAAAAATATAAATATCGTTGAACCGAGTGCGTATGAGAGAAACGACGAATAAACAATTTAACAGCCCAATGAAAGTTGAAGTGAAGTGACGAGAGGACGGACTGACGGACTGACGGACGGACTGACGGACTGACAGACTGACGGACTGACGGACGGACGGACGAACGAACGGAGGTTCTGACGGACGGACGAAATTAATAACGTAAAGGAAAACAATTTCACTATTAAACATTATTAATAAATAACAAAAATTCATTGTCATTTGAAACCTTTTTGTAGAAGTATAGAAAATGATAATACTCATCGCTTTTTTCACCTTCACAGTTTGTAGTGTCTCCGCTCCATTTTCTATCCGCTTCACATTTCCTGCGGCGTGATCCACGTAAAATGAAACCTTTATCACAGCTGATTTCCACTTCGTTCGGGAAGGTGGTCTCTTCCCCTATCACTGATCCGTTCATAGGAGGAGAGAGCTTTCTACAGTCCACGGCTTGGGAGAAAAAGGTAATTGATGAACATTGAAGCTGATCAGTGAATGACGATGATAAATCCATTTGTCAATGGACAAGGTTAAAGTTACAGAAAAGGACCAACAGTTGATTTTTTCATAATCGTTTTCGTTCTCTGCTTAATAAACAGCCTATCAATGAAGAGGAAAGAAAAAATATTTCCCTGTAATTCAGTGGTACAAACTCCAAAAAAATAGAATCTTGAAAAGATCTTATATTCTTAGCAAGCTTTATAGAATAAAAAGGTTCAATGAATGTTCTGATTAAAATTGCCAAGTATGTGTAATCAAATCATGATGGTGACGAGTGAAATTAGGATTACCTTTTAATATCGTGGTGACAAATTACGTTCACAACCGTAATTGTTTTTACTGGTTTATTCGATCGAAAACTGAGAACATGAAGAAGAATATAGTTTTCGTTTAAAGCATACATTATTGTTAAAGTTCGTAATTTTCTAAGTTTCTTCACAAAAAATACCTTACGAATTCTTCGTGCCTGTTAATAATTTTCGGCCGCTTTCAATTTCGTAACTTCTTCACGGGTCATCGTCTTAAATCTCGACGCCATCTTAGCTCCATCTTGATCGAGATACAAGAGATGTTACCATGGCAATTTTGTCATTTCACATGTGAAATTAAAAATTAACGCTGAAAGTTCGCGCCAAAATTAAGGAGTAATTTGTCACCTATGATATTACACACATAATCGGCTTTCCAAAAAAAAAGAAAAAAAAAATAGGTATTTCCAAAACAAGGCGCTACGGGTTCGCCATTACACCTGATCGCCTTGATAAGCAAACTAGCCACAGTACACGGGAGTCTCGGAGGAGCCAACCTTTCCCGCTGCGGTAGACGGAGAAAATACTTAAATTTGGCCAAGTCTCCTGCCATCCGTGGGTGACAGTGAAATAAATTCTTGGTTCTATATGTAGAAGCCTGAAATTCAGTTCGCTTGATCCGATACTTGTGTTATAAAAAGACCTCTTAAGGGCCCACAAGGGTCCACGAAATGCCTTTTCTTCCCATCAATATCGTTGAGAGAGAGATTACCTTTACAAACTGGCTTTTCGCCACTCCAGGTCTTGTTAGGCATGCACATCCTCACAGAGGACCCATCCAGATCGAATCCAGGGTGGCAACTGAATCTTATCTTGTTAGGAAATGTCGTTTCAGTGCCGATGGAAGAACCATTCGCAGGAACAAATAAAGCACCACAATCAACCGCTGTTAGATTAAAAGTTCAAAGATTTATTAATGTAATTGAATTGATCAACCTTCAAGATTTTCTCAGTAAGAAGTTTGGCTTCACGGCAAACGGCTAATTAGTTAGAGGCACAAACAAAATGAATTCATTTAGGGTAGATCGTTAGGACATGCATTCGCTAAACTCTCTCAAATATCCGGCGCAAAGTGAAATAACCTGATATTGCCTGACCAACTGGGTAAGACATTAAGTACTCATTAAGACAAAACACATCTTTTTAGTTCAATTACGAAAAATCAATGTCTTGACATTTCGGTGATGCTTACTTTAAGACCATTTACTCACTTTTGGTGCTTACAGCCTCTCTTCTTTTCAAGCTTTAGTGAATTTGAAGCATTTTACGTTCAATCACTGTGCGATGTAATGAAACATTTGTCTAGAATACAATAATGAACTCCGGATTCTTCGAACTACACTTTTTTGTACAATTTACAGAGTAGGTGAATTTGTCAGTGGTCAATTCAACCTCAGCAAAATGAACAATTTTTCTGTTGTTAGTAGAGGAGAAATATCTGCTCAAACAAAATAAAATTAATTACCTTTACATTCTGTTTTATTTCCGCTCCACTTTCCGTTCGCTTGGCATGTTCTTCTGCTAGGTCCGAGCAGGGCAAATCCTTCATCGCACCTGATCTCCACATGGTTTGGGTACGTGGTTTCTTTTCCGATCAAAGAGCCGTTCTTGGGAGAATCGAAGCTCCTACAGTCGACAGCTTCACAAGTAAACATGAAATTAATGTGAATGTCTGTTTTAATTCACTTTCTTCACAGCCCCACCCCTCACAGCCCCACCCCTCACAGCACCACCCCTCACCTTCCCTCCCCCGATCCCCGTATCACGAATATCGAGAACAGTATCAGCTGTAACTTGCCAAATTTAACTACGTGTCAGTAGAGCAAGCTTAATCGTTGAGATTGTATGTATAGAACACGAACCGTTATCTTAGGGGTGTGGATTCTCACCCGATATGGATCTGACATTTTTCATGTCACTTTTCCAAATCAGGTGAAGAGTGAATTAAGATCATTTGTTCAATCCATCATTAGTCTATCGCACCATTAAATAAGGTTGCCTCTTGAAAGAAATCTCTTCCAGCTTCAATAGTAGTTGGAAGCCTTAAAATAGACCGTTAGAAAGTGAAAGAAACAATCAAACTATTCTGCATATATCTTGGAAGCTTGCCATTGAAATGAACGATTGCTAATCCGCTTACCAGTACATGTCACTGCCTTCCCACCCCAACTTTTGTCCGAGGTGCACATTCTTCTAACAGTGCCTTGCAATTCAAAACCTTCATCGCATTTGAATTCTAGTACACTTCTGAAAGTTGTTTCGTTGCCAATAAATGTTCCATTCGTTGGTCGGGGCGGAAAGCCACAGTTTACAACTATAAAAATGAACATACAGATAGTTAGGGTAAAGAAGAAAAAAAATGAAGGTACGGAAAATCTTGGGTCGTTATTTCAATACTTATATCAGAGTAAAACTATGAACGAAACAAACTTGGTAGCTTCTTGTACAATGTCTCTTTCTAAATTCAGTGCTGGTGTAGATCTCGCATCTAACCTATTGTTAAAACATTAACTAAAGTTGAAACATAAGAAATGTACACCGTAAAAGTGTACATTCTGTACTCTAAGTAGTACAGAATGCTGTGAAAATTTCTAAAATGCTTAGTCTTGATGACATATCACAAACTTTCCGAAGACATGCCATAGAACTTTGTAGAATATTCTATTAGGTTACCAGATTACCTAATTACGACGTAATGCTACCAAAATAGTAGCGTAGTGGTGGAATGTTCTAGAATAGTCTTCAATAGTGGGCTCAAGTAGCTTTGAAGAGGCTTCTTGTTGTTATAACTGCTTAAAGGAGTCGCTTCGTCGTAAGACTGAATTGACTTAAGGCGTTTTATTAAAAAATTACTTGGGTTTGTAGGAGTGTAGTATTCTTTCTTTCGGTTAAATTATATCGTAACAAGTGGGATAACGCCTAGCGGAGCTTCACACCTTACAGCCAGTTGTTACTACTTTTTATTCACAAGAAATCACACAACACTCCACAGGGAAATAGTTTGGCAGCAGCTAAAGAGATTCAACAACGTATTTAGCGTTGACAGTAGACATGTTTTTGAGTTCTTACCTTTACACACTGGTTGAATTCCTGTCCAGCTTCCATTTAGTTGACACTTGCGTTCTTCTGACCCCTCTAGTTCATAGCCCAAGTCGCAATCAAAATAGACCCTGCTGTTGACAGAATATGTGACTCCCAGCTTCCGACCATTCTCGGGTGTGCCAGGGTCTCCACATCCCCCCTCTGTTATAAAATTCACATGCTGCTTTAAAAATGTGAAGTGATACAATAAGCAAGTAATACAATAATAATAATAATAATAATAATAATAATAATAATAATAATAATAGTGATACAATAAGCGGTAGAGTTGTAACCACCAGGATGGTCACAACAACGTAGCGAAATGTGCGGGCAAGCTCTGAAACTAAGAAGCCTTTTTATAAATCTCGAATTTTACATTTTTTGGCTACAGTAGATTGATCGAACGCTTGTGAATTTTTTTAAGGTTGATGTTGCTTTTGACAGATTCCGTAACATACTCTGGTTTGTGGTCTGTAGAGACCCCGAAGATGAAAATCTAACAGACTGCCCAGAAATGGCCTACCTGTACATTTAAAAGGCAACACTGTCCAACTTCCAAGGAAACACATTTGTGTCGCCATTCCTTCTTGGTTGTAACCTTCATTACATTTAAATGTGACTTTATAACCAGAATGGTATTTCTTTTTCGGGTTTGAAATATTTGCGTTTCTAGGAATAGCTGGCGGTTTGCAGTCTTCCACTAAAAAATAAATCAAAATGATACCAACTGATCAGTCTAAATGAGAATCTTTGAATCCGTTCAAAGCGATCTGTTCCAAATCGAACGGACCCGGACAAACACTGATTGCAGAGTGCATTACTGTTTTTTCAGAAGTAAAATCGAGGCTTTCTTGCTCAAGTCCCTTCTTTATGTTCTGAGTGCTTTCTTACTGAACCTTCTTGTTATTCTTTAGTATGCATGTAAATTAGCCAACCCCGACTGATCTCGACAACATGCATAAAGACATTAGAAATTTCTTTCTAAAAGCGAGGTCACGAATGCTTTACTGCATGTATACAATTATAATCAAGCCTTCCCTTGTGGAAAAGGTCCAAAGTGTGAATTACGTAGACCATGAATCACCAACGTTCAAAAACAGTTTAGTTCTTAAACTCAGAAAGACGCTCTGTTTGAGGTTAAATTGCATACCCTCTACCTATTACTCGTTACTCCCGAACAGCATTATACGACAGCATGTGGCCGAACAGGCTAAAAATGAAAGTCCCTCTCCTCGCCCTTCCCCGGAATGCAAACAAAAATTAAGCATACAAGAACTTCGCTAAACAAAGGCTACTCACAGCATCTAGGAGTGAGGCCTTCCCAGCGTTTCTTAGCAGTGCATCTCTTGACTGGAGGTGTATTCAAACTGTATCCTTCATTGCAGGTGTAATGGGCCGTAGAGTTGTAACTCGTTTCATTGTAAACGAGGTTGCCATTGCTGATTGACGGTGGATTTCCACAAGACATTCCTGTTGATGGTAATGGACCAAAAAAATTATGAAACGACATATCATTCAGTTCTAAACAGCCAACATTTATGCGATAAAAGGCGGCATAAGTACAGACACTGAAAGTGTAGACAGAAAGCCAGAAAAGTTGAATGGCTGATTCGTATAACCTATGTAAGAAACCGTTACTCTCACGAGTGGCGTGTAACAGGGAAAGGAGAGATATGAAATTATAATAACAAAACTCAGAAAAGTAACAATGATTTTCAAATGCTCTTAAACTGAGAATAACCCAACAATCTTTCTTTACATAGATACGATATTTCTTTCCGTGTCGAAACAACCAACGTAGGTTCCTCTCTGACAAACAAAACAAGAGTTTTGGAACAGTTTACATTATTATGTTTTAGTGCTAATGCGTCCCTTCGAACTGCATACAGATTCTCGTGATTCACGTGCATATTTTATTCACAAATTTCAATAACAAATGAATTTTTTCAACTCAGATATTCAGCTAACCATAGTTAAGGAAAAAGTATGGTCGTTACGGCCGAACTTTGTTCTTTGTTAACCATTTTATGTACCTGACCGAGCAAAATGCTTCACGCTTTTCGTCACGACAAACTTACTGATCAGTGGTAACGTCCCATTTCTATTCTATTTTCTTTCACCAGAATTACTGTTACTGACCTATTTCCACGCAACTGAACCCACAACTTCCATCACAGAGGCACTTTTCCTTATCTGAACCGCACCCACTTTCAGGAATGCACTGCTCTGTACATTTAGTTCGTGGGGCTCGAATGGTCCTTTTACAAGTATGGTTACCTAAACGCATGTTTTTACAAATGGTCCAGTTATTTGCTAAGAGTGATCTATTTTAAGTGTACACGTAGGAAAAAATAATACAACATAAAAGAAGGATGTTACATAAATAACATTAATAAAGGCGCACATAATAACAATAGCTGTTACTATTGTTATTATGTGCGTCTTTGTCATTTTTGTTCCCGATGGTTTGATATTTGCTTCCTGGTTTCCTATCAGTCTTACCTTAATATCAAGCAGAAAAACTAATGAGAGTCATTCTCCCTATCTCACTATCATCCATGGAAGGTTTGCCTTTGTACTCAAGACATACCATTTGACATTCTGAGCTAAAGAGCAGTTTTATGGTTATGGTGAAGAAAATGATCATAGAACACAAGGCAGTGATCTTTAAACTTTTTCATTTGCAATCTATGTAAATCTTTCTGATACATAAACATGCCTTAAGTTCTTTTTCGCTTTATTATTCCCATTTTGGTATTTTGCACCAAAAGAAAGAGCGTCTGAGATGTTATGGTTTCATTCTAATTAAAGATTTATTTATCCGTGTGCACCACGACCACGTTAAACTGATATTTTATGACCCCCTTGACAGCGGAGATTAGATTTCTAGTGGACCCTACCTTCGCACTGAAACGGAAATCGAGTCCACAATCCGCTGATGCAAATCCGCACAGGATTTCCACCTGGCTTCGTTGTAAACCCGTCTCTGCAGGCCAAAGTAATTCTCTCGCCAGTCCTGTATATTCGGTTGTAATTTACGGGATTTGTGATGTATGTAGAAAATGGAATTTTTGGTAAAGTGCACATTTTTACTGAAAAAAAAGATGATTACAGATAAGCTAAAGCAAGACACCAACAGATTGAAAAAATTGAGCTGGGTCGAAGAATCGATCGGTAATAAGGAGAAACATGACCAAACAAAGACATCTATTTGTCTTATATTATTAAGAAGCAAAATGTTGAGGATGGCGACGTCACCAATACGTTTGTTGAGCAATTATTGGATGAGGTTGAGCATGACGTCATGAATTATCAAAGCAGAAGGTTGAGGCAGATACCACAGACACGAGCTTTGGCAATTCATGCTATCATGCAAAAAGCGAACTCAACAATTGTTCTATTATACATTTTTTTATACCATCTGCATAACAAGGCACCTCTCTGAGTGTGCAAAAGTTTGAGAACACTACGCTGACGAAGAACTTGGAAGCTAAGCAGACTTTGAACTCGACATGATAACCCAATATCTGCAGCAGATATTGGGTTATCATGTCAACTTCACACGCTATTGCATGCTCTCGACCAATCAGAGCTTTCAAAGAAGTCTAATGCATAATTATTCAGCTCATCGTATAATATACAGTATTCGATTGCTATGTTTCTATTTGGTTTCAAGACAAAGCGTCAATCGCACTATACTCACAGCAGTTAGGTCCCACGCCGTCCCACCTGCCGTTTGCCCGGCAAGTTCTCTTTGCTGCCCCAGACAATGTGTAACCCTCGTTACAAATGTAAGTAACAATGGAACTTAAATTAGTGGCTGTGTACTGAGGTTCAGCGTTGGACACTCGTGGTGGCCTTCCGCACGATAAATCTGTTCGGAAGCAAACAACAATTAACAAATGGTAAACACCACAGCGTACACTATTGAGTTATGGATGCACGCGGGAGGTTGCTAAGCACGAAAGAAGCGTAATTGACCAATCAGAGCGCGCGCTTTATTTTGGTTATGTTATAATATAAAATCGGGCCGGATTGTCCTTATTTCTCATTTGGATAATGAAAAGCGGACTAATTATAGTATCTGGGCAACTACGCATCCACCCCTCCCCTAGCCAAATAACAGTC